AGAAGAGAAGAGAAGAGAAGAGAAGAGAAGAGAAGAGAAGAGAAGAGAAGAGAAGAGAAGAGAAAGGAGCAAACTTCATCATCATAACTGCTGCCCACTCTGTTTCTTGGGTCCCTAGGGTTCAGAGTGACACCACTGTGCCTTCATCATCCTAATCCTGAAAGATGTCTTGACCAGTCTGGGCAGGGCTGGCTCCAGGGTTTTGGCCACCCCAAGCAGCCAAAACAAAAACAAAAAGCAAAACAAAAAAGTCGCGATCGCGATCTGCGGCGGCAATTCGGTGGGAGGTCCTTCGCTCCCAGGCGGAGTGAGGGACCGTCCGCTAAATTGCCGCCGAATACCTGGACGTGCCGCCCCTCTCCGGAGCGGCTGCCCCAGCTTGAGAAGCTGGTGCCTGGAGCCGGCCCTGAGTCTGGGTTAGAGAGAGGGATCCAGATGACACTGCCATACCCGCCAGGTCCAGCTACATCCCAAACGCCACATGGGATATGAGATTTTGTCTCCTCCCTCTCCCCCACCATGTATTCTTTTTCTTCTCTACCTTATTACTTCTCTTTCCTCTCTCTTTCTTTTTTTCTTCTGTCTAATAAGAGTCTGTCTTAGCCGGCCAAGACTGCATACTTTGCCGTAAGCCTGTTACCAGAAGCGCTGCTAAATGCAATGCCCTAAATAGCCCAGTGCTGATACATGATTGCCAGGTCTCAGAGTGGCTGATAAGATCGTGTGCTGTGCCTATGTTTTTCCAGCAGAGAGGTTGCAAGTGAGGAAGAAGTTGCATTTTCTATCTTTGCTGCTCTTTTCTTTCTCCTTGCGTGTGTCTGCTGTCTTGTTGCGTCTTTTAGGAAACAGGATTGGATTTTAACAGCAATGACATCTCAACTAACTTCTCTTTTCCCTGAAAAGGACAGTTACCAACTACGAGACTTATCAAACATGGTGGGGGTTATTTGAGAACTCTCTCCATCTAAAGGGACAGTGAACAAGAGATGTTAAGATGAAAGCCTTATTTAATATTTAACAGTGCAAATGCTTTAACCATTTTTCCTTTTTTCCCCCCACTGTACCTTCAATAAAAGGTTAAAAGGATTTTTAATTATGTGTTTGCCAAGGTATTAAGTAGGCTGAGGTCTCTGAATACCAAACCCCAAAACTCGTTTAAAACTGTTTACTGTTGGACAGTTACAGGGACATGTTCACACCTTTAACTCTTTGGGCCCCTACATTCCTTCTAAATTAATAACCCCCCATTCTACACACACTTTTGGAGGGGACTCTAGATCAGACAAGCTACATAATCCCATTCATCCAAGTCTATTATTTCATTGATGCTTTTTTGCATAAATCAAAGGCTTTTGACACTGGCTTCCACTCAGAAGCACCAAGCTGATGTCTCCTGATTTCTGTACCTACTTCTACCTGCAAATTGCATTCAGTTTCTGCATATGGTAAAAATGAACACTTCTCTAGTGCTTTCCCTGGTCAAACTATTTGTATTACAGTAGCACCTAGAACCTACAGAAGAGCTTGGAGCCTATTGTACTAGATGCTACACGTACATGTAGTAAAACAGTCCCTGACCCCAAGAACTTAAAATCTAAATTAATAAAGACAAAGAAGGTGTGAGAAAGGAAGCGTTATTACCCCTATTTTTCAGATGCAGAAGTCAGGCAGAGAAATTATCTGACTTGCCCAGCGGTTTTCAACCCGAGGCCTGCATGCGGCCCAATTAGCACACAGCTGTGGCCCAGCTGTGTGCTAAAGGCTGCCAAGGCCCGTGCAGCAGGGTCAGGGTTGCTGGCCGGCCCCGCATGGCGAGGGTCCGGGGGTTGCCGGCTGGCCCTTCAGGGTCTGGGCTGTCGCCTGACTGCCCTACCTCATAGCCGGGTCCAGGGTCGGGGCTACCACCCGACCCCATGCCCAGGGCTCCGTTCCTGGCCCTACTCTGTGGAGGGGTCTCTGGACAGGAGGTGCTGGGCATAGGGGTCTGGGGCGGGGGACGGGGGGTTGGGAAGGCGCGCTGTGGTTCTCAACCTGCGGCCCAGGTAACACATTAATGCGGCCCACAATGGTAAATAGGTTGAGAACCACTTGCCCAAAGTGACGGGGGAGTCCGTGACAGAGCTGAGAATTGAACCCAAATGCCCAAATCCCAGTCCAGTGCCATAAACCAAAAGAGCATCCTTCCTCAAAGCGCTTTACAAATGTTAACCAGTCCTCACAAAATCCTTCCATGTTACAGATATGGAAACTAAGAGAAGTTAAGTAACTTGCCCAGTGCCACAGTAAATCAGTGGAAGAGCCAGGATGGGAATTCAAGAGACTCTGCTCCCAGGCCTGAACTGATTCCAGACAGGTAAACTCAAATACACAGACTTTCAGACATTAAGGCCAGAAGAGACCATCATAATCATCTAGTCTGACCTCTTGCACATCTCTCATACAGTCTCTTCTATTTTCCTTTATTAGTAGTTCAGTTTATTGTTCTATGTGATGTTTTTGGTAAACGGTGCTTATAAAAACAGCTTGCAAGTGAAAGACTACAAATAAAGTGACTATATTAAGTCACTATAAATGACCACACAGTATAATCTCAGAGTTACGAACTAACCGATCTGTCACACACCTCATTTGGAACCATAAGTACGCAATCAGGCAGGAGCAGAGAAAAAAAAAAGCAAATACAGTCCAGTACTGTGTTAAAAGTAAAGTACTAAAAAAAATAAAGGGAAAGTCTAAAAAAAGATCTGACAAGGTAAGGAAACTGTTTTTGTGCTTGTTTCACTTAAATTAAGATGGTAAAAAGCAGCATTTTTCTTCTGCATAATAAAGTTTCAAAGCTGTATTAAAGTCAATGTTCAGCTGTAACCTTTTGAAAGAACAACCCTAATGTTTTGTTCAGAATTACAAACATTTCAGAGTTACAAACAACCTCCATTCCTGAGGTATTCATAACTGGGAGGTTCTACTGTAATGATACTAAGTTTAGTAAAGAAACTGACTAGGCCAGTGGCAGACTAATTTAACCCTCTTGTTTTGCCTGTCTGCAAGTGCAATCCTAAATAAAACAAAAATTACATTGCAGTGATCGAAGACAACCATGCACTGTGGCTCCTTGCTGATGGGGGATAAAGAGGGGTCCACCTCAGGGGCAACCGTAACTGGCTCCAGTTGATCCCAGAAAGTGTATTTGCAGAACACAAAGTTGGAAAGATGCTGAGGCAAACCGGTAGCCTGAAGTATTTTAATCTAGAGGAAGGAAAAAGCAGAGAAAAGCACGTTTTAAATCAGTAAACAATTTTAATTGAAACAGTCAAGCATCACACAAAAGAAAGCCAGTTTGTTAAAAGACCATCTTCTTGCTCAACTGAGAGGCTAAAAATTATTAAACAGTTACTTTGACACAAAAGTCTTGACAAAAGAAGACTTGTCTGTCTTGAAATATTTGCAGATAAAATGCTTTGGCTGAACCAGCTGGAAGTCACCACTAGGTGTCATTGAACAACTGACTTTTGGGAGTAAAAAAGAATGCTGTGGGTTTTCTGAAAACTTCCTTTGTTCTACAAACATCCTGTTAAAGTAATTCTTGTGCACCCCCAGTTCTAGCACCTATACCTACAAATAGGCCAAGAATTACTTTAACAGGATGTTTGTAGAACAAAGGAAGTTTTCAGAAAACCCATAGCATTCTTTTGGCTTGAAATGGTTTCCATTATATACATGTTTTACAGTTTGGTTCAATGGCTCTCAACAATACAAATTGTTCCAGCATAACTGCTTGTAGGATGCTAGGAACAGCATAAAGTGAAAAACCATGCCCACCCAAGAACTCATATACTCATAGGACTGGAAGGGACCTTGAGAGGTCATCTAGTCCACTCCCCTGCACTCAAGGCAGGACTAAATATTATCTAGACCAGTGGTTCCCGAACTTTAACAATCCGCAAACCCCTTTCACTGAAATGTCAAGTCTCGTGAACCCCTTCCTAAAAATGAATATTTCCAGGGATTTTATAAAAGCAGTGATCTTGGAAATATAAAATTTGTTTTTATGACATGCTTATTACACACTATTATTATTTATCATTACAGTATTTTTATTACTGAATGAAAACGGCAACACTCTTCCAAGATCTCACTTTTGTAGCTTGTATCACTTTTGATTAAGTCTGTTACAAGACAAGGCTCCTATCAGAGGCGCCAGTAGAAAAAAGGGGCAGGGGGCAAAGCCCCTGCGCACCCCGGGGCCTGGGGGGCACTCCCGGAAAAGTGAGGGGGCCCATGGGGGCTGCTGGAAAAAAAGGGGAGGGACCCACAGGGGCAGCACGTGACCTTCATCGCCCCCCTGTACTGGCGCTTCTGGCTCCTATGTTTCATCAAGGAGTATCAGATGTGAAACAGCATGAAGGTATTTAAGAAGCCAACTCAAAGAGTACTCAGAGTACCTTCTACGCAAGCATTCAGGTCTTGAGCAGTCCAGGCAAACAATGCACGTTACAACAAAGCTTAAACTTGTTCTTCATAATAATTTAAAAACAACACTAGCAGCCTATTTAATAATACAAACAGCAAAAAAATATCCACCTCCCTTTCTATTTCGTATAAGGAGTCTTGAAGTTTATCACACTGAGGAGATTTAGATATGCTTGCTTTGATCTGCTTAGCTCTTGGAAGTCCCCAAGGCTCTGGGCTGCTAGCCCCATGTTGCCCGGAGTCCCTATGGACAATCCTGTCCACCATTAGGGAATTTTTTCCCGAGAATCCCCTGTGAACCCCAGTTTGGGAACCACTGATCTAGACCATCCCTGTCAGGTGTTTGTCTAACCTGCCCTTAAAAATCTCTAATGACTGAGATTCCACAACCTCCCCAGGCAATTTATTCCAGTGCTTAACTACTCTGACAGTTAGGAAGTTTTTCCTAGTGTCCAGCCTAAACCTGCTGCAATTTAAGACCATTGCTTCTTGACCTATCATCAGAGGTTAAGGAGAACAATTTTCCCCCTTCCTCCTTGTAATAACCTTTTATGTACTTGAAAACTGTTATGATGTCCCCTCTCAGTCTTCTCTTCTCCAGCAGAAGAATTACTTCTTGTGCCTTGCTTACAACATGCTTGCTAATATATCCCAGAATGAGGTTTGTTTTTTTGCAATAGTGTTACACAGTTAATTCATATTTAGCTTGTGATCTACTATGAGCCCCAGATCCCTTTGTGCAGTACTCCTTCCTAGGCAGTCATTTCCTATTTTGTAGGTGTGCACTGATTAGTCTTTCCTAAGTGGAGTACTTTGCATTTGTCCTTATTGAATTTCATCCTATTTACTTCAGACCATTTCTCCAGTTTGTCCAGATCATTTTGAATATTAATCCTATCCTCCAAAGCACTTGTAACCCCTCACAGCTTGGTACTGCCCGCAAACTTTATAAGTGTACTCTCTATGCCATTATCTAAATCATTGATGAAGATATTGAACAAAACAGAACTGATCCCTGTGGGACCCCACTCGTTATGCACTTCCAGCATGACTGTGAACCAGTGATAACTACTCTCTGGGAAGGGTTTTCCAACCAGTTTTGCACCCACCTTATAGTAGCCCCATCTAGGTTGTATTTTACTAGTTTGTTTACGAGAAGGCCATGTGAGACAGTATCAAAAGCCTTACTAAAGTCAAGATATACCACATCTACAGCTTCTCCTCTATGCACAAGGCTTATTACCCTGTCAAAGAAAGCTATCAAGTTGGTTTGATTGTTCTTGACAAATCCCTGTTGACTATTACTTATCACCTTATTATCCTCCAGGTATTTGCAAATTGATTGCTTAATTATTTGCTCCCTTATCTTTCTGGGTACTGAAGTTAAGATGACTGGTCTATAATTCCCTGGGTTGTCCTTATTCCCCATTTTATAGATGGGCACTATATTTGCCCTTTTCCAGTCCTCTGGAATCTCCCCATCTTCCATGACTTTTCAAAGATAATCGCTAATGGCTCAAATACCTCCCTCAGTCAGCTCCTTAAGTATTCTAAGATGTATTTCATCCCGTCCTGGTGATTTGAAGATATCTAAATTGACTAAATCATTGTTAACTTTTTCTTTCCCTATTTTAGCCTCTGATCCTACCTCACTTTCACTGGCATTCACTATGTTAGATGTCCAACTGCTACTAACCTTCTTGGTGAAAACAAACAAAAAAGTCATTTAACACTTCTGCCATTTCCATATTTTCTGTTATTGTTTTTCCTTCTTCACTACCTAATGGGCCTACTCTGTCCTTGGTCTTCCTCTTGCTTCTAATGTATTTGTAGAATGTTTTCTTGTTACCCTTTATGTCTCTAGGTAGTTTAGTCTCATTTTGTGCCTTAGCCTTTCTAATTTTGTCCCTACAAACTTGTGTTATTTGTTTATATTCATTCTTTGTAATTTGACCTAGTTTCTACTTTTTGTAGGGTTCCTTTTTTAGTTTCAGATCATTGAAGATCTCCTGGTTGAGCCAGGGTGGTCTCTTGCCATACTTTCTTTTTTTCCTACGCAGTGGGATAGTTTGCTCTTGTGCCTTTAATAATGTCTCTCTGAAAAACTGCCATCTCTCTTGAACTGTTTTGCATGTTTTACCAAGGCGCAGCGGAACCTTAACTTCAAATTCATATTCAGTTCTAAATGTACAATCCATTATTTTAAAACAGGTTGTAATATTTTGCGAAGTAAGTTTCCCTTTTTACTAGTAGAACTAAGTTCAACTGAATTAGGATTTTCTAGATAATTGTAGCTTCCTAATTTCTGGATCATGTAATTTGCGTGTATCATGACATGCTAGTGGCGACCAGTGCCTTCCATTTGCACACAGACACCATTTAGAGCTGTTGCACACTTAGCTCCCTCTTCTGGGCATCCACCATGCTTTCCCTCCCATCCCACCTCGACCATGCACAAGAGAACAGGTTCCCCTCCTCCCCCCCACTTCCCATATATACATGTGAGAGACCAGGGTTATTTGACTCAAAATCTTTTTTTTAGTTGAATATAAGAATAAGACTACACATTTGGTTTTATTAGGGCCCCATATAAGGCTGATAAAAATGTTCGAGGGTAAATCTTAGTTTTTTTGTTTTCATTTTTAATAAATGCCACAGGGACCAGAAAAATGCCATTATGGGACCAAAGGATCACAAGATTCAGACTTCTTGCATTATTTCCACCATTCAGAAAATGAAATTCTTTGAGAGGAGACATGACAGAGATATTTCAGGGCCAATTTTGAACCCCAGGGCATTAAGCAAGCTCATGAAAAATACAACCAGCATAGTAGACTGCACACATCACTGAGCATTCATAGCTATTTGTTTTCTTTAAATCTTGAAACACCGAGATTCTTTCAAACAGGCTTTATAAACTGAACAATTCACATGGTAGGATAACGATAGTATAACTGAACATAGGTGGTAAACAAAAGAATATACAGTGTAATTTATCATCAACATGGAAGCTAATGCACCACAAACATTTAATCACGTTTTTTACACTTGGGTAGTAAGTAACAGAAAGGAAGAAGTTGGCTCAATATTGAGGATGTGACAATAGCTTTTATTGAATGCATCTAGAACTCACCATGCAAACTAGTTTGTTCTCCTGTATGTCATTCTCTCTTGAACAGTCTGTGCTGTCATCACCTCCTACGATTCTCTCCCCAATCGCTCCACTCACTCGTACCACTTCAACATGAAGACGACCTGACACCTAATGAAAAAAGGTGGGTGGGAAAGATTATCAGGTGCCACCAGACAATGGTTTCTAACCTTTTCAGGTAGCTATGCTAGTGCACTGCTATGTTATGAGCATACCTAATCTGTCATCATGGGACCTCTTCCTCCCTCCTCCGCCTCCCTTCTATTGTTTTGTCCCATTCACTTATCTTGTTTTAGATCGCAAGCTCTTTGGGGAAAGGACAGTCTTCCTATGAGCTTGTACAGAACCTACCACAGTGGAGCCTCAATCCCAATTGGGACCCCTGAGCATTACCATTAGCAAGGCATTACTTTGACTGTACCCAATTGCCTCCCATTCATTTATGACTGCTCTACCTGGATCTGGAGCTGCCCAAGTAACACACAGGTGCATTATTAAGATACCAGAGGGAGAAGGTAAAGGACTAGCTACTCGATCCTGAAATATCATTAGAAGCATGTGCCAGTGGCTGGGGATCACCTTTCGTACAATACTGAAAAGCCCTAATGACTTCCATTAAACAGCTCAAAAGTATGATGTACAGGAATGACAAACCTCTCCCTTCTGATTGATGATAGGGACAGCATATTGCAGCTTCACATCATAAGACAGGGACTCAAGAAAAACATTGGCCACTCCGATGAGACTATGGTTTTCTTGTTCATCATAGAATGGATCAGCTCGCTTGAAGTAAGACCTGGTTAACTTGAATCAAATTCAAAATAATGTAAAAACTAAGTTTATAACAGAATGTCATTTGCACAGCACGGATGAACTGGTGAGGTTTCACAGGCTTTTGTTCTCTTCCTCTAGAGTGTCTGACATAGGCAAGAAATGAAAATTGATCAGAGTGATCCGACCAACCATGGTAACTGTCAGGGCAAGTCTACAGTACAAATCTGCAGCTGTGTTGCTGTACCACTTCTGGTGACGACACTCTAAGGGCGAGAGCTCTCCCATAGCTTATTAATTTCACCTCCACGAAGGGCGGTAGCTATGTGCCCACCGACATAGTGCTCTCTACACCGGCACATAGGGTTGGTTTAACTCTCTCATTCAGGGATGTGGATTAGTCACACCTCTGAGCAATGTAGTTATATCAAAGTAATTTTGTAGTGTAGACTACAGTAAGATAAATTTGGGGCCTATCTGCAGACAGGTTATATTAACCATTTTAAATTCACACCATTCAAAAGTTGACCAGGAGCACAATTCTTGTTCTCTCGACTTAGCTTCTCTCCTTGTAATCCTATTCCTTCTAGGATCCACTGTCAAACCACAAGTGGAAAGAAATATGAAAGTGATAAGATACAGCAGGTCAATGAAATATTAAAGAACCTTTGGAGTCTCTGTTCAATACTAGAAATAAGCAAGGTTTCAAGATAACTGGCATCTTTTTGCCAACCCTCCCCTCACCCAATAGTTTCCCATCCTATTTTTTTTAAAACAAAACAGGCACTTAATTTTATCACCACATTACTGGTCTCTCCTCTTCCCCATTCTTACTTACTGGGTCATCCTTCTCACACCCCAGCCACTCTTGATAAAGTTCTCTCATATCTATCAGCCGGTTTTCCAATTTCTCCAGTGACCAGATCTGTTTGCCTTTCGCTTTCCTTCTCACCTGAATAGCAGGCTCACTGAGAACTGCACCTCGCTGCAGAAACAAAACCATTAGAGAAGGCGGCCTGAGTAAGGAATCCATGTCATGACAACTGGCACAAAGTTAAACAGAAAGTAACATTTTGATTAAAAAAAAACCTCTTGTTTAAGCAGCCAAATTTGGAATAGTAGAATCCAAGTCCAACTGTCAACATAGCATGGCCATGTCCTATTAAACTGTCACATTTTATCCCAGTAACAATGGCAGAGATCTTCATAGATCCCTTCCTTTACAAAAGCGTTGCAAGGATGAATATTTAAGCATTTCATAAAGAGCCTCAAATAAAAGAGGCTCTAAATTCAAAGTAAGATTATTTCCACCTACAGTGTCCAAACTTATGCAGTTGCTTAATCATTTCCTTCCTTTTATTTATTTCCTTATAACTTTTTATTAAGGCAAAATTACAATAAAATGTTTAACATAGAATTATAAAAATGTAGGGTTGAAAGGTCCCTTGAGAAGTCATTAAGTCCCGCCCCCTGTACTGAGGCAGGACCAAGCAAACCTACACCATCCCTAATAGGTGTTCTAACCCAGAGGTTCTCAAAATGAGTGTGAACATGTTGGCAAATTATCTAGATCACTAGAGCCATTGGATCACAATGTGAAGTGCTCCACGAGGCAACCCTTTATTGAACAATGATTAAGCTCAGTGAGCTGCTGCCTCACCTTTCTGTTAGCATTAAGGCTTGAAGCTGGGATCTGCAGAGTGACCTTATACTCCGTGCTCTTGTCCAATTCCTCTGAGATGAAACTGGCTTCTCTCACATACAAATTAGCTTTAACAATTTGCTCTCTCAGCTTCCTCAGGCTGTGGTTCAACATTTCTTCTCTTTTAAAGGGGGAAAAAAAAAAAGAGGACAACCAATAAATTGTTTTATTTAGTGAGGAAACTTAACTAGATTTGCAGTAGAACACAAAAAGAACAGGAGTACTTGTGGCACCTTAGAGAGAACACAAAGGACCTTTGGGCTGATCACTACCATGTAGGTAGGGTATTCATAGGAATCAATATCCAAAGAAACTGATTTTAAAATAGAAAGATTAGCTAAACACTAACTTGGTCCCTTTGAAAAAAAAGATATTTGAAATTTATATGAATTTAGTGAATACAAAAGTTGCCAGGCTGCCACGTCTAGAGACCCAAAGGCCTCTCCCTGTATCCATAGAACAGGCAGCATCTGTGTGAGCTATTCCACACCTTTCCCACCCCAGAAGTGGAAAAACTGTGTTAAGATGAAAGGATAATTCAGTCTCCATGATGCAGTCAATATTTGTTCTCTGAGAAGAGTGCAACAAATTAGTGCCTACTGTGATACAGAAAACGCTTCACAGGGATATATGCTGACACCAAAGTCCTTCTACACAAGCCACCAAAATATTATGAGATGGTCACAACTGATCTGGGCTGGATTTGAACCTGTGACCTAGAGATGAAATGCTCCATCCTTCATTACAATACTTATTTTTTCAAAAAATGATATTTCTTTGGCAGTTTAAGTTAACAGTGGATTATTGGTTTTTTGGGTTGTGCCTGTGTGTGTGTGTGTGTGTGTGTGTGTGTGTGTGTGTGTGTGTGTGTGTTAGTTTAATTACTACTACACGT